CGTGCCCCAGGTGAGGGGGGTGCAACCCCCCCCAGTGCCAAAGGTGACAGGTGCACCGCCCCCCCAGCGCCCCAGGTGAGAGGTGCAACCACCACTCCCCCCAGAGCGCCCCAGGCAAGGGGGAAGTCTCGCCTGATCTCGCACCCAGCAGCGACCCAGGCCAGGCTGCAGCGCACACCGCCAGGCCGAGCGCCATGGCTGGGGCACTGCGGGTGGAAGGCGCGAAGCCCCGGTGCGCGGCGCTGCAGCAGTGGGCCAGGCCGTCTGCTGGCGCCCGAGGAACAGATGCATGAGGGCTGGGCAGTGGCCGCGTGCCTGGGCTAAGTGGGTAAGGCAGAGAGGTGTGAAATTGTGTCAGTGGCACCATAGAGGCATGTGTTGCCCGGGCCTGGTGCTGGATGCCCTGCCGGTGCGAGGCAGCAAGGCAAAGACAAGTCGGGCCGTGCTGGCGGTACATACGCTAGCTCAGTGTCATGGTGAGAGGTGCAGTAATAACCCAGCATTATTGCAATTGCAGGTTACACCAAAACCTGTGCTTTGCAGCAGGACGATGCTTTGTACTTCTCTTTTCTGGCATTTTGAAACAATAAAACACGGTGCGATGTCATTTAGTTGCCCCTTGAAGAACCGAACATAAGCATACTGCAGCAGGGATGCTCTGCCTTGGGCTTGTGGGCTACATCTGGCCCGCAGAGCAGTGTTGCACAGTCCGCAGAGCTCCCCGTGGGTCCAGCAACTCCGCAGCGGGGAAGCAGTGACAGCATTACTTGCTGCCCCCTGCTGCTAAATTTCTACACTGTTGGTGAGCCCTGGGGGTGAATAGCATGGCCCCGTGTGCTAGACTGTGTGCATGGGACTGGGGCAGCCTGAGGCTTTGTTTGGGCAGCATGGAGGTCTGATCTGGGCAATGCGAGGTGGGATCTGGATGGATGCGTCCTGCAGACCGGTCCTGTGACCTGTGGGACCAAAAGCGGGAGCACCTCTGTGTTTCAGTGTACTTGCAAGGCTTCATGCCAGTGCTACTTCATGTTTGCATTGCAGCAAGCTGGGCTGTGAGACTTGGTCCTGCAAAACTCACATAAAATTAGCAAGCAGCAAACACCTCTGGTTTCAGGACTTATGTGAAGGCCATCTATAAGCATGCAGCAGCTGGGCGCCTCAGGCTTGCTTGCATGACTTAAGTCTGAACTGGTGTCAGTTAGAGAAGGGGCTTTCCTTTTGAAGCAGCTGTTCATTAGGGGCTTTTAAAACAAAAGGAGAAGCGATGAAATTAAATGCAAGGGTGGCATTATTGCAGTTGTGAAGTAACACAGGTAGTTGCCCACGTGTACAGACTGAAAATCCTAATGATGTATTTACAGATGTTTGTTATATGACCTCTGTGCAATGAAGAAGGCCTCGCAACAAAGAACATCACCCAAAAAAACACAGATGTCACCCTCTCGTACCCCAAGTCCAATGTCTACTCTCAGCTCAAGCACCAGGTCACCATCTCCTCTCAGCAGGCAGGGAACTACAGCTAATTACAAACCCAGGGGCCAGAGACGTCGACAACTTGATGTTGCAGGGGAAAGTGATGTAGGAGCTTCTTCTGAATACCAGAGTGAGAAAGGTACTGTGTAAATAATGACTGCTGGTGTAAAAACTGATCCCGAATGCATTTTGATATGGACAGCGTGAAATAAGGTTATTTTGTCTGTTAAAAGTGACATTGAAGGGGCATTGTCATAGCGTTTGTATCTAAAATTTGGCCCATAACAGAGGTAATCTCTGCCTTGAGAAGTTATAAATGGATTGGGGATTCTCTAAAACTTTGGCACTATAAACTGTCTATGGATAGTAAATGAGGCTTGGGTTCATGGTATTCCCCTGCACTAGCAAGTTTTGCTGAAATGGCACAGGGAAAATGGATCCTGGAGATTGTTTGTTTGAATATTCACTCCTCCAAGCCTCCAGAGACACTGTACCCTCCTCACGCACAGTACTTCTGGAGCTACTTCTGACGTGTTCGTTTTCTTTTCATACCTTCTGCAGCATAACCATTCCCAGATTTCCCTTTTTTTAACATTACAGTAAGTGAAACATTGTAATTTTTTGTTCATTTCAGTGCTAACAGCATTACATATTTTTTCTATTGTTAACTTCAGATGAAGATAGCCCAGGCGTTCGGTACATTACAGAGTCATTGATTAAAAACCTGTCCAAACAGGAAAATTTGGCATATGTAAACTCACTGAATCTTTCTCTTGGTAAGGATTTGGACAAAAAGTTTAAGGTGAGTTATTGCAAGTAATTTTTTATTAACAAGAGCTGAAAACATTATATGAACGATAATACAATTTTAAAAAATGTAATTGTTATAATTTCTGAGCTGACCTTTAGAACCTGCTGCTGAAAGGCTTTATAATATCTTGTACTATCATTTTATGAACATATGATTCTTATAAATGGTACCTCTGTATGTGTGTACATGATAACTTGTTTATTTTTTAGTATATAGAAAATTTGGAAAAGTGCTCTAAACTAGAAGTACTAAATCTCAGTAACAATCAAATAGAGAAGATTGAAAAGCTGGATAAACTGCCAAAGTTACGTGAACTCAATTTGTCCTACAACAAAATCAGGTAAGCATAAAAATTTGTTTTGGAAATACAGTGGAAATTTAGAAAGTTAAGATCCCTCTTGTATGTTTTATAAAGAATTAGAAATCACACCGAGAAGTGTTGTATAAATCCTAAATCCATGTAATCCAATACAACACTTCTCACTGTGATTTCTGATGACATGTATATCATTTGATATAATGTAGAGATATTGTGTAATATTAAAGCCTGGTATCAGGCCTTAATATTAATAAAGGTCTTCCTATATCATTACATCAGCAACAGAGAAGGATTCGCCTTCAGAAAAGAGAACCGAAAGATTAAAATGAAAGGGCCCGATCATGCATCATGCGCTTGCAGAAGTCTTAATTAATACATTTACCACCAACAGACAGCTTCCACTATTTTGAGGAAGCTATTTTAATTGGGTAATGTAAAAATGCTGAGGGACGATTGGGTAGAATAGCAAACTTCTGCATGCTGCCCTTATTATTTGCCATCAGCAAAGTAAAATTAGTAACATCTCTTTTAACAAACTCTGGGGCTGCAAACATGATAACCGCAATTACAGTAAAGAGGTTAAAGGAAGTGTTCACAAGACTAAGTAGCATTTCCGCACAGTGCAATGAAGCAACTTCCTCTCTCTGGAGAGTTAGAAAATAAAATAAAATAATGTCGAAGTAATGTTGCTTTATTTTAATGTTTATATATATATATATATATATATAAGAAATCTAGTTATACAGTTTCTTTTCTAATCAAATACAAATATAACTTCAAGATTTCATTTTTTTTTCTTGAGTACAATGAACAGCTTAGATAAAAAATATATTTTGTGTAGTATTGCTATGTATTTGAAATATAAATTATGTTTTCGTGTCCATATCACTTTGTATTTGAAGCATGAAATTAAGGTTGGTCAAAAGAATTAATACTTGGGCTGCTGTGAATTTGACTAATTTTTCTTAAATTTTCTTTATATTGCACATATTCCGTTTTTGTGAGGCTACGTTGGAGTCACATCTACATAAATGAAATCATGGTGCCTGTTTTTTTGTCTCTGCTTGAGTCTCATGTTTCTAGTAGATGCTTCTACTAGAGAGAGGAGAGAGATTCTTCTACTAGAGAGAAGGGAAAGATGTGGCTGGCTGTTAATGCTACTGTCAAAATCTTTTCATCATTTTAATTATAGAATGTTAAAATGAGATATGAGATTTGATGCAATGACCTGCAAAAAAGTGCAGCAGCAATAAGCAGCCTTTGTTCTAACTGCTTTAAAGCATCCCAAGGTTTTTTATACAATTTTGTTTTGACCTGTAAAACAACCTCTACTAAGCAACCTTTTTTTTGCTAGTTTCCTGGGTGATTATTTAGGGTAGATTTTATTGTACAGTATCCCTGAGGGCATAGCTGCAGTGTTCCTCTGACTTCATTCCTAATAGCTAAATTCCATGTTTTCTTTCTTTTCAGTAAAATTGAAGGTATAGAACATATGCAGCATCTTCAAAAGCTGAACCTTGCAGGGAATGAAATCGAGCATATTCCTGTGTGGGTAGGAAAGAAATTAAGATCCTTGCGCATCCTTAATTTGAAAGAAAATAAAATATCCTCAGTAAGTGACGTCAGCTAGCTGTGATAATTGTTCACAATATGTTATTTTTAAAGACTTTGGTAACTGACTTTTTTGCAATGTACATAAGCTAGGATGGTCATTATTTTAATAATTACATGCTCT